GGAGGGGGAGGCTGTCATCCAGCAGTAGATAAATTGTGGCTCAGGTGAAATCAGTGGCAATTTTTTTTAAATTGTTCAACCTGCTGCTTATGTTACTATATCTGACTCTTATGGATTTTAGCACAATATGGCATCAGCTGGAAACGTATTAAGGAGCCCTTGATTTAATTAAATACCCTGGTCGCCATAGCAACCGTTGACAACTCGGGTGGCTGGTAACCAGTTCCTCGGGTTCCATTCTTCGCATTCATGTATAATTAATGAATCTATTGTTACATTACAGCTGCTCTTTTTAACATTAATTCTCAGCAAGCCCGATGTTGTAAACAAGTGGAGCCTCCAACTCTAATTATCTACTCTGTCTCTCGACAGACCTCTGTCTGCGTGTGCTATGAAGAAGGGCCATTACCCGAAACGTCGCCAATTAAAAATAAATGTTCCTTTTAATGCCACTGGTATTGACGAATGCGATGAGTCGTTTCCGTTTGTTATTTGTGCACCACTGCCAACGTAGCAACGCCACAAACTACGTGCATGATACAATAGAGTGCAAGTGAGTCAGTCCCTGGCAATACAAGCACAGTGAGTTTAACACGTAGGCTCTTGCGACCAATATTGCACATAATAAAGGGGATTTTTTGGGGGTTAGAGTGTGTAAATATAAATGTGTCGTTAAACCCGCCACCACTCGACACGCAAAAACAAACCTTACTAATCGGCTGCGTCGGGTGGTGGCGGGTTTAACGACACATTTATATTTACGCTGATCTAACCCAACAAAAGCTCCCCCCCCCTTATTATTGACAGGACAGGGTGGTCCAGATGTGTTGTGATCCCGATTTAAATCTATAAAACTGAAACAAAATTGTATACAAATCGGCGTTAAAACAAACATTGAATGAGTGAAGGAAAAATATGTTGGGGACCAATTAATTGGGGGTCACAATAAATCTGGACCACCCTCTTGTATAAACAGCATAAGCAATTATGAATATAGCTTAAGCAGGACCGGATTGTCAGCGATGGTCAATCTACTGCCGGATGAAGGCATTCTTCAATCTTTCGCAATCTTTCACGATCCCGCAATATAAAAAGAAAAACAAGACCCCGCCCCCCCCTCCACTGTATAGCCTTTGACAGACTTTTGGGGCAAGTGCTTTTAGCGAGTAGCACCTATGAAGGCCGGCACGGTATGCGAGGGCGTGGGTGGCCAACACCACGCCCGGTCGCCTTTGTCTCCCTAGTGGCGATGTAATAATCCAACTATCACCTGCACACCAATTGATATCATTTGGTGTGCAGGTGATAGTGCACGACCCCTTTCATTCCTTGGCTGCCACTCCATTATTGCACTTGACCTTGGACCATCCACCCTTCTCGCTGTTGCGGCGTGTCCTGCCCAACACCACGTTAATTATCAGTCCAAATAAGTAAACCCGTAAAAACAAAGTTTTTCACTCTAAATCCTTTATATGCGTGGCGGCTTGAGTCCTCTCGTCCTCTGGCTTGAGATGGCTGCCACCTATGGGTCAGATGATTGTCTGCAGTATTAAACAATTGGTAATTAAACATAATATTTTTGTCCTATAAAGTGTAAAATTTTTGAAAAAAATTTTCACGAACATTAATTGTCACGCACAACGAGTCTGTGTGGAAAATGTCAACTCGATTGGATCATGGGAAGTGGGTTAAAAAACGACCGAAAGATTTACACGGTCGTAAGCAAGCAAGCAAGCACGCAAGCAAGCAAGCGAACTTAAAATAAAGGATTAAAAAAAAATTAACCCGTAAAAACAAAGTTTTTCACTATAAATCCTTTATATGCGTGGCAGCGAACTTAATATAAAGGATTTAAAAATATATTCGCCTGTGGAGGACGCGGGGATCGATCCCGCGACCTTCGGCATGGGAAGCGAGGGCGCTACCAACTGCGCTACTCCGCCACGGCCTGTGGAGGGGTTACGCTCTGGCCTCTTATACTGTGAGGTTCAGCCAAAGCGACGAATGAGTTCTATTTGAATATATGTAAAATACATTTTTTTTGCCTAAAAAGTGTAAAATTTTGGGAATTTTTTTTCACGAACATTAATTGTCTGGCACAACGAGTCTGTGTGGAAAATGTCAGCTCGATTGGATCACGGGAAGTGGGTTAAAAAACGACCGAAAGATTTGCACGGTCGTAAGCAAGCAAGCAAGCACGCAAGCAAGCAAGCGAACTTAAAATAAAGGATTAAAAAAAATTAACCCGTAAAAACAAAGTTTTTCACTATAAATCCTTTATATGCGTGGCAGCGAACTTAATATAAAGGATTTAAAAATATATACGCCTGTGGAGGACGCGGGGATCGATCCCGCGACCTTCGGCATGGGAAGCGAGGGCGCTACCAACTGCGCTACTCCGCCACGGCCTGTGGAGGGGTTACGTACGCTCTGGCCTCTTATACTGTGAGGTTCAGCCAAAGCGACGAATGAGTTCTATTTGAATATATGTAAAATACATTTTTTTTTGCCTAGAAAGTGTAAAATTTTGGGAATTTTTTTTCACGAACATTAATTGTCTGGCACAACGAGTCTGTGTGGAAAATGTCAGCTCGATTGGATCACGGGAAGTGGGTTAAAAAACGACCGAAAGATTTGCACGGTCGTAAGCAAGCAAGCAAGCACGCAAGCACGCAAGCAAGCGAACTTAATATAAAGGATTTAAAAACCCTAAATGTCTCTCACCAGTTCCTCTTTCGGTGATTCCAAGCGTATGCCTCTCAATGCTTCTTTGCACATTTGTTTGGGTTTGTTTTGTCGCTGATAAGCTATAGATGGCGCACACGTGAAACGCACGGGTTGTGAACGATACGACGTCAGTGGCATGTCACGGCATGTGCCCTGCCTGGACGGACAGATTTTAACGCACCACAATAAAAAACAAAGTTGACCCTTGACACCTCGTTTACGGCCGTACATATATTATGCTCATGGGAGCAAAACAAGAACCATCTTACATAAGTGGTATGCGAAACTAAACTTTTATTTTTATTGAGCCATCACAAATGATAGCTCAACAAAGCGGCCTATCGCGTGGACATTTATAGCAGCAAAAAACACTCTAAACGCTTGTTGCTAAATGTGGACGGAAAAACCAGAGGACCCGGAGAAAAATCCACGCGACCCGGGAGAGAATATGAAAACTCCAAATACAACAGGCGTCAGGATCGAAGCCATGACCTCCTGTATACCAGGCGAGGTAGTTAACATCTAATAGCCACCGTGACACCTTATAGTGTTCGGAGTCAGCAAAATCATAATTATCGTCATCATCGGTGTGACATTCCCCCACTCTACCAATTGGGTTTGCCTTACGTAGGTGCAGAAGGGAGAGAATGTATAGATATTGATGCAGCTCAATCTACAATCTGATCCAATGATCCACCACCGCATTCTAGGCATGTGCATGCAATTCAAGCCATCCATCAGTCCGCTCAACTGCTGAATGAGGTGATTCCCCACGCCTCGGGTGGTTTATTTGACCATACTTCACCATTGCTGGCATTCTGGACCCCAAACAGAATCAGAATATTCTATTTAAGCTGCTGGGAGGAATCCGATGAGCTATGAAGATCTCTTTCACAGACGTACAGTATGGGCTGGTCAGCAAGTTACAACAGCGAAACAATACAACACATACGATAGGAGCGCAAAATAGAGAAAACGGTAAGCAAGTCACTAAAATAAAATTTATAATTAATACATTAATTACACTGGTCAACAAAAAAAAATTGTGGCCTGGACTTTTGCAGCTGTTTTAGACTAATTTCAGGGTGCTGATTCCAAATCTGATCTCAGATTTGCTCTATCACATCTAATTTTTATGCTATCGGCATATCCAATTTTCATTGATTTTACCCGAAATTAACTCTGTCATTTATGATTGCAAGTTGTTGCGAGTCAGTGACTGCTTTAGTGTTAAAATATGGTGCTGTATGTTTAGGATAGCGTGTTTATAATATCATTTTATGTAGATATCCACATTTATTTAATATTTTTCTTCTGCAGTTTTTATTGAAAATGCAATATTTGATATCTCAAAAACCTGATGTGATACACAAAAAACTGATGCCAGATTTGGAATCAGCACCCCAAAATTACCTTATAACCGTTGGGATACCTTATGCCAGAAAAAGTGTGTTATACAATGCCTATGTATCAATAATTGGGCGAGGCAGCTAAAAAAAAAACATTCCCGGATCACACCAAGATAACAACCACACAGTCGACCCAATGTTATTGTAGTTAATATTGCAGTCGATAACATGTGCGACTGGTGTGTCCTGCCTGGACAGACGGTGGTCACGATGTTATTCGTGGCACTCTATTGAGGGACGCGCGTTTGGATTTTATTTGGCTGCGATCAATCTCCACGCGATGACGAGTCACTCCGTTGAGCTGTCGTTTGTGATGGGCAGGTCGCTTCTGATAAAGAGCTGATGAAATAAAATACAAAAGTTCCGTGTAAAAATAACAAACAGTAGCATATACCTGTCAACCTATGCTGTTAACCCGTATTCTTGTACAGGGAGAAAATTAGTTTTTTAGATCCATACGGCATACAGCCGTTTCAGTGCGGGCAAAAAAAAAGTATGTTTGTTTGTGTTTCTCCCTCGTGATGGGACTTTGTAGGATGAACGTTGAGATTTATAAGCGGCACGGGGGTGACCAATCAGGTCTGAATTGTCTGTAACAAGGTAGGGCACTGATAAGGGGTTGACAGCTATGAAAATTGTTTACAGACAGCGGCACGGCCAGAGCTTCAGCAGTGGACACCCCAAAAAAAAAAAAACCCAACAACTTGGCGCGGTTCGTGAGCCACGCCGGACTGGCACGGTTAACGTTCCACATGGCACGGCTCGGTTTGTGGCAGTGGTGGAGGAGGAGGGGGGGGCAAGGGGCGTGGTCTCGTCATTGTTGTGGAACCGGCTGCTCTACCCGGATACCCGGGTCCGCGAGCTTTTAAAGCCACCCGGCAGCTGGCAGCGCACGCACGCGCGCGCACGCTTCTCCGACTTTTTGAAATTTCCCATTTTTTTAAAAGAAAACTACCGATTTTATTCTTTTTTTTCAGCATCGCACGGCACCGCCGCCTTTCCCCATTGCCGCGGGAATTATTAATTAATTTCGCAATTTTTTTGGGAGCGTCCTCGTTAAAGTCTCGTTCGCGCGAATCTCGTCGAAGAGCTTTTTTTTTCATTTTCACCCGCTAGCGAGTACAACAACAACAACAGCACAAAAAAATTACCAACCATCAACAAAACCAACTCTCGTCAAGGAACAATGTACGGAGGCGAAACTCGCACCGTGGTACGACGGCCGTACAAGCTGATCGCGGCTCTCTGTGCCTTCGGTGCGGCCGCGCTCGAGGCCGTGTCGCTCGGCTCGTCCGCCTGGGTCACCGCGGAGAAGTTCAGCCTCTCGCTGTGGCACTCGTGCCGCCAGCACACCTCGGCGTGGCTCTGCGTCTCCGCCCTCTCGCACGGTGCGTATGCGGACTGCGGGTTTCGAAAAGCAATCGGCGGGCGCCGTTTGGAATTCGTGCTCCGTATAAGGCGCGGTGGGGGTGGGTGGGTGGGGGCCGCTGCGCGGGGCTCGTCGGCACGGGTTCGATCCCCGCAGTCGGCGATTATAATTTATCTTCTTGGTTCTTTCGGTAAAGTCACGTAGAAGGGAAGTAATAAAACAATAAAAATAAAACATAATAAAATAAAATAATTATCACGACGTTTCGGCTACAATGCAAGCAGCCGTCTTCAGGTGAAGGACCTTCTACGTGACTTTACCGAAAGAACCAAGAAGATGAATCCCTGCAGTCACGAAAGCTTTAAATCGAGATTATAATTTAGTTTTTTATCGCGTAACAGTTCGCTTTATCGCGTAGAAAGCCCCGTGAAGTACGCTTTAGTGTAAACTAAATAAATGTGGAAGCCTATTATGAGGTTTAGTTTTTTTGTACAAACTGGTCTACAATGTTAAGAGTGTGAAGAAAAAAAAACTTGACGGGAGTGGTGGCGCAATGGTTAGCGCATCGCGATTTAAAACCCGGAGGATTCTCGGTTGCATTCCCGTTCGCGGCTGTCATCAGTGGCGAATGCTAACTGAACGTGTCCCTCCCCACCTCCCTCCCCGGGAACCCTTGACTCACCGAGCCGCACTGACCTGCTTGGTGAAGTATGGTCAACGCCCATGGCTAGCAGTGGACGGACCAATGAGCCGTAGAATAAAAACAACAACTGGGATATGATGTGCCAAGTGCAGTAGCGATATCCACCGTGCTCAACTGTCATGCAGTTTCAGTGCGACTCTAAGTATGTTAAAGCTAACTGTGGTACATTGGTGGCGAGCGTGTGTGTTGTGGAAGGATGCCCGTGCTCGCCATAGCAACGTGGAATGTCCACAACCAACTCGGGGACATGGGCGCACTGCCCACCCATGTTTTCGCTAAGAACCATTTCGTTGTTGCTGCTGCGTGAGAATTGCGTTCGTTTTCCTCACATCTTAGGTACGGTGTGAAAGAAGTTCCATCCACGTGTATACATAGCCTGAAAGCTAAGCAGGCGTTTGAGCCTGGATTAGTGCTTTGATGGTCGCCCACCAGGCAAAAGAGTTTGCTATCGGCTGCTGTAGGAGGGCTTTGGTGGTGGTTTGCGAGCGAGAAAGCCACACGGTTGTACCGTACCGCTCTATGCTGCCGCACCTTCCCCCGCCACACGCTGACCAGCGTGGTGAAGTATGGTCAAATGACCCCCCCCCCAGCCGTTGTCATCCAGCAGTGGGTTGACGAAGAGGGCTGCACGGTGTCTACTTTAATACGGGCTAAGGGTTAAACTCTTTCAGTGCACAATGAGACACATTTGGCTCGTGAAAATCAAACATTAGGAAGGCTTTAAGGCTGAGAAAGCAGGTTTAAGTTCTGTTCATGGTAGTGTTACTCTACCGTTAGACTTGTACAAGATTAAGGCTAAGTGTTGATAGATTTTGTTTACAGGGTTTATTTTTCTTCTTTTTAGAGGGTGCAATGTTCATTCAGCTGTGTGAGAGGTGGGCATTTGTGTATCCTGGAAATATTGGGGGCAGGTGTGAGATTCTTGACACAAAAAAAACACCCGGGTATGTCCATACACGCTAAATGTAGCCCAGTTAGATTTTGCATAGCTATTCACATTACTTATGTTATACAGAATATACACACACACACACACAAAAATATCAACCCATTATAAGAGGCAAGTACAAAATTGCCCCCACCACTGAAAACCCACCGAAAATTATCAGCTAATCCTGGAATGCGCAATCTAATTGCTCGAGTACTTAATTAGAGGATTACTGGCACGTGACGTTTCGACTCGATGTTTGAGATTTAAGAGTGGCCACTTTCAATAATTTTCCCAAAAATATCTTTTTTTTACATTTTTAAACAAGTTCCGGAATAAAACTCCCTTATAGATACGCGGGGCCCTTGATCCCACCACCCGCATTCTTTTGAAGGCAATGTATAAATAAGAGTGAAAAGTATGAAGCAAAGTACTTATGCAAGCAGTTAGGGCTGTCCTTAGGGATTGGGTCTTGTGGCAAAGTAGTAGACACAGCGTGTTTCGGTGTGTGGTCAAGTGACCTCGAGAGCTTTTGTAACCAATGGGAATCTTCAACAACCTTCGCTAGCACCCCCTCCACCTCAACTGCTGAAGCAGAAGGGTTTGTGTTTTAAAAAGATAAAAACCCCTGTTATACTTCACCATTTCAGGGCAGCATTTTCCACCAAAGTGTAACAAAAGGCTTTTTTTGAGCTAGAGTTTAATTAGCAAGGTATTTTTTAAACTTATTTTTTAAATATTTACTTATCTGCTCAAAACGGTTCCCTTTTAAATAGGGTTTATTTTATTTTTTTCATAAACACGGGGCTGACGAAATGAAAACAGAGACTGCGATAATGTTGTGTTTACAAAAGCTGGTTGATGGCGTGCCAGGGTTAATCTTTAAAAAACGTCTGAATAATGTATCTGTTGCTTCATTCCCCTTCGGTTGAGTGATGACAAGCGTTTGAAGGAGAGCATTTTTTGCGAAATAATTACGCGGACGATTCGCATGGATTTATTGGCTGATGTGTGAGCAGGCACGCGGAGTTGGATTTATTGTTTACAGAGGAGTGAACCCGACCCCAAAAACATGGGCTCTGAACGTTTATTCTTTACATGTCTGTAGTAAAAAAAAGCTAGCGTCGCTTCACCGCTCTGGTTGACAATTCCTGAGCAGGAAATCACCCACGCACATTGTGGGTGACGTCACTTGGTGATGTGTCATTCGTGACAAAAATTGTGTTTACAAAAAAACGGGAGCTTTTTGCGACGGCGCTTTTACGCCCGGTCAGCTTCTCTGCACTCGCGAACTTAACCCAGTTTGATGAAGCTGACCAAATCGAGCTAAGGGTCTTCCCAGCAAACAACAACAACACAACAACAACAACAAAACACGTGGGGATACAACACCAGAAAGGCGAACAAAACATCAAGGAATTTGCATGTCTTTTCAAAATATGCAACCACCATTTGGCCATGACAGCCAACCCACGCGCAGACGGCCAATTAAACACCACAGAACGATAAATCCCCACGTTGAAAGGAATGAGATGATCCATGCATATGCAGATTTGTTTTTCTTTTGTACCCCCAGAGTTCTTTGCAGTGTCATCTGCACGGCACCATCGGTATCTTTCCCCTACCATTCAATCCTACCCCTCTCCCACGCACCCCCTGTCCCCATCTCCCACATACATGACAGACGTAAAAAAAAAACTCCATTCTATTACAACGTTAAGCTTTTGTGATGGAAGCTACAAAGACGCATGAGCAAATTATACTGCGTATCCCAAGTGTGCAAACGCATGTCCTAAATGCATAAAATGTTGTCCATCTCGAAATACGCAAAAAAAACACCCACTCATAGGTTTGCACAAATTACTCGTACAAAAATGTTAATAAGCGAAGTGTAATCATTAATAGCGTGGAGATTCAAAAACAGCTTTCAAAATGTCCTCTTAAAAGCATTGTTGAGTGTTTTTGTGTTTTTGAAGCTGCGATGGAAAGTCCTTTAATTATTACTGGACCGCGAGCTAAACCTGACGGGGACCTTTGGAAAATCCACACCAACTCGGTATCTCCCACAAATTAAATACCAGCGCTCCGCTAAATAGAATGACAAATACCCCCCCCCCCCTCCGTCCCCTCTGTATAGCCTTAATCAGACTATGGTAATAGGGTTTTTACCCTTTTTTTCTGGCAACAAAACTGAAACCTTTTGCAAGAACTCATGTTTACATTAACCACAATACTTGCAGTCCGAATGCAAACAAAAAACAACACTGATAATTGATGCATTGTTTACACCATTGGAACCTCATTTGCCATTAAAAAAATATATGATAATTGTTTTTTTTACCCTTTTATCTGGCAACAAAACTGACACCTTTTTAGTGTGCCTTTTGGCGTCATCTGGTCCAACACCATGTGAGACTAGGCTCTAAGGAAAGCTGTCTCGGGTGTGGACCAATCAACTTCAAGGACAGTGCATACATTATCAGAGTTATGCGTTTTGTTTGCATTATGACTGCAGGTATTGTGGTCAATGCAAACATGACTCCTTGTAAAAAAAGATGTCAGTTTTGTTGCCAGATAAAGGGTAAAAAAAAACAATTATGATGCATTGTTCTTGAAACTGATTGGTCCACACCAGAGACAGCTTTCCTTAGAGCCTAGTCTCATACGGTGTTTGACCAGACTGTTGGGGCAAGTATTGTTAGCGAGCCCCTACGAAGGCCGGCTTAGCACACAAGGGTGTGGTTGTCCAACGACCACGCCGAGCCCCCAAATAAGTATAACCAGTAAAAACAAAGTTTTTCACTATAAATCCTTTATATGCGTGGCGGCTAGAGTCCTCTCGTCCTCTGGCTTGAGATGGCTGCCACCTATGGGTCAGATGATTGTCTGCCAGTATTAAGCAATTGGTAATTAAATATTTAATTTGTTTTCCCTAAACAGTGTAAAATTTTGGAACAAAAAATTTCACGAACATTAATTGTCTCACACAACGAGTTTGTGTGCAAAATGTCAGCTCGGTTTGATCACGGGAAGTGGGTTAAAAAACGACCGAAAGATTTGCACGGTCGTAAGCAAGCAAGCACGCAAGCACGCAAGCAAACTTAATATAAAGGATTTAAAAACGACGGGACAAGATTCTGGGGCCCAAAAAAACGTGCAAGGGCCTCGCCATCGAATGATTGAACCCCCACGAGTGGCAACGTGGTCGGCGCAGATTGAAGAGAGACTGGTCCACTGTGTCTTCACGCATGGCACCCTACTGTGTGGCCAAACAAACCGTACGGCTGCATGCATGTAATTGTCACGCGTGTGGTAATGCCCTGCCTCGATTGATTTGCATCATTAGCCACGTGTTGCTGTTTATGAATTGCAGAACTAAAAAAAAAAG